TGCAAATAATTCACACAGTATATTGGTCACTAATCAAATGCCAAATTAATAAGAAAATAAAATAATATACCCTAGCATAACACAGAGAATTCAATTATTATTTTTTCGGTAATAACAATCGACAAAGGAAATGAAAATTTAATTAAAACTTCACTCATATTTTAAACTAACATGTTGACAAATTTCAATGAGCTGCATCTTTGCTAATAATAGTCTCATTTTTTCATCTCTGAATTTTTTTTTTGGTTTTGTATGAAATTTGTCAATCTTTTAAATAACAATGGATGTAATCTACAAAAAAATGTTTACTTTTTTTTTTAGTTATTTCTTTTTGATCAAGTCTGGCATCCAGGACTGCCTCCTACTTCCTATCTAACTGATAGATCCTTCAAAGTAAATTATAATAATGCCTATTCATCCCTTTTTTACCTGTCCGCTGGTGTTCCTCAAGGAGTACCTAGGTCCTATCCTTTACACAGTTTATACAGATGATATCCCAACCCATCCTCACACTGTCATCACCACGTATACCGATGATACATGTGTGCTATCAGTTAATAACGACTTAACAATTGCATCCCAAACTCTCCAATCACACACCTTGAAGAATGGTGTCTGGAGGATGAAAATAAATCCCATCAAATCACCTTTACTCTTCGTCGTAAACCTCCTGTCCTACAATATCCTTTAATAATACCCCACTTATCCCTGTTGAACAAATCCGATACCTTGGACTCCACTTAGACAAACGTCTAACTTGGAATCCTCATACCAGACTCAAACGACACGAAACCGCTCGACGTTTCAGACTACTCCAGCACTTACTAGACAAACGCTCTAAGCTCCCATTCAATTACAAAAGACGGAGTTGAGCTCTGGGGCTCCACTAAGCCATCGAATTCCTCCCGTATCCAATCCTTACAATCAAAAATCCTTCGTAAAATCCTCAATACTCCTTACTTTGTCACAAATTAAAACATCCAATAACGACCTTAATGTTCCTTATGTTTCTGACCTGGACCAATCCAGATATCTATTCTAACCTTCGTTTCTAACCTTGCTTCCTCTTCGGTTCCTGACAACACGCCGAGGATTCTAAAATGAAGATGGCCTTGAGATCTTATTTTGTAAATACATTTTAAGAGTGCTACCTGTGAGTAGTTTCTCAACAGGTGGTGGTGATATTATATTCTTTTGTTCACATTTACTGAATGTATTTTTATTTGTAATACAGTTGTAAATATCATCATTAAAAAAAAAAAAGTTATTCGCAAATAAATTTTTGTTTCCTAAAATTTCGGAAGATGTGACAATTTTTCCCACCTGAAGTTTTCCTTCAAAATGGTGGCTCAATCTTTTTTTTTTTAATTCTGGCTCTCTTTATCGGCTTTCGCCACTACCAAAGTCTCCCAATCTTCTTGATTTTTTTTTAATAAACAGACTTCCAAATAAAAAATCTGCTGGCTATGATCTGATCACTCATTTTATTCATCGACACCTACCTCGAAAAGCTGTTCTCTTCTTTACACACATCTATAACATCATCTTATGCACTACCTATTTTCCTCTCCTTTGGAAACTTTCCAAGGACATACGGAACAGAACTTAGGGGTTCGGAAAAACAAACACACATAAATAAAATACAATACAAATTTGCACATTTCATTGTTATTATTTTACGCCTTTTTAATTGTTATTATTGTACACCATCATAATACACCATGGTACATTTCAAATAACACTTGGTACACTCAAATTTGGTCACATAACCATGGTACACTCAAATAACGACTTAAACATCCCAACAGTAAAATCCTACACTCACGACAAATACAATTCATTTCATCAACTCTGATCTTGAAGTAGACTTGAACATTGAACTAGTATAACGGACAAGTACACTTTGTTATAAAGGACCCACATTTGACAATAGACTGACCTAGATCCAACATCTGAAACTGAAACTAAAACAATAGACTGAGATGTCCTGTCCTTATTGGAAGAATTTTGTACTTAGACTCACATAAAAATACACACATTCGTTTATTTATTTACTAACTAATATAATATTCTGTCACTTGGACAATAATTATAGCGAAGTTACACCATATATTATATTACATCATATTACACCATGAAATATATTTTTTTGAGATTAAAATATATGATATTCATTTTTCCTACCCCAAAGAAAAATCTAAAAATCTTTTATTTTTAATTTTCGCCTGAGCTTTAAATTTTCTTTCAAAAATACAAATTTCGTGATAAATTCGACTTGGCTCTACTTATCTACACGATAGTATATTACAGCACGAATTTGGAGGCCTATAATATACACAAAATAGCAGCAACCAGAATTTTGCAAATAAATTAGGTCTGGAGAAAAATTTGGGGAGTTAAAGTTATAGATATAGTTTTGAAAAGCAATAACTTAGCTTAGTTGCAGTAACGTCGACTTAGCCGAAAAACCTGAGGAGTTATCAATATTTTAGTAAACGACATGAAAAAAAAAAACATGTTCCCATAAAATTACGTCCAAAAATTTATATTTTTTATTTCAAAACAAACTCGTATTTAAAAGTTTTAGTGGACCCTAAAATCGAATCGGAATAGTTTTTAATGACAAAAATTTATTTGAAGCGTCTATGGGTTTTTGTATTTTATTATACCTTATAATTGTGGGTTGATGGTTGACTGTAGTGAATAATTTTTCCCTTCAATTATTAGACCATGTCCGAAGGTTGTTGCCAATGAGCCCTAGGAGCCGAGAAACAAAATATTTTATAAAATTTTATTGTTTTTTTATGGATCTGCACAGAGTTATACGTAATTATATACCAATCGATTTGTTTTTGTGTAAAATAAGAAAACATTGCTAATTGTATTAAACGAATTATAAGGTATAATAGTATTTGGGGTGATCAGTCAAAATAAAAAATAGCAAACATAAATAATAAAATTTATGTTTACACTTGCCGACGTTTCGGCCCAAAGTTTGGGCCTTCATCAAGAGGGGATATGGTCTAATATTTTTCGACATCGTATTATCAAATCAGGTTTTATTGAAATCGGTGAACTCACGTCCGTAACCTCCTCTTGTTAGTTTTATCTATAGTTACAACTAAAACTTGTAGATAAAATTATTATGAAAAAAAGTAGACAGAATTCCGTGACTGAAGTCGCTTTTTCCTATCATATTTGTATGAAAAACCAATACAAAGTGTTTGACTTGGTCTCTTAATACTTACCTAAGAAAATCAAATAGAATCATAAAATTATCTGGAACTGAGGGGAGGTGCACAAAGCCTTAAAAAAAAAAAAACGAGTAAAATTGTGAACAAATTTGGGGAAATGGTGGAGGAAGAACTTGAGAACACCTGTTCTATTACAATATCTAGCAGAACTAAATGAAAGTCCTTCTGTTTTAAAGACGAAGCGAGATTTAAAGATAAGAGAAACAGTATATAATCTACTATCATAAACAGTCGCTGAATCAACCTCGCAAAAAAGTTTTCTAAGTATTTATTTAAAATAAAATTTAGGAATAACTTATAGGAATAGCACGCCTAAAGATTCAAAACATATTATTAAGATAATTAAGATAAATTGAAGGAGTAATGATAACTCACAAATTAATATTGAGCAACTACACTATAGAACCATCCAAATAACAATAATTAGTTATAGGTTATTTACGGTAGCTAAAGCTGAAGTTAATTACTTTTAGTTACCATGACAGCTAATTATATGTCTAAATAAATTAAAAGTGGTTCATTTCAACTGTCAGATAATGTAATTGTGAAAATTAATTGCGAACCAAACATTAATAGCTAAATTGAACAATTAAACTGTATATTAATCGCAGATTTAAAAAAAAAAAATCTAACTGTTTAGCTTAACCTTAGCTAACTAAAAATTAGTTAACTAATGCCCAACTCTGCTGCTGGGTACAATATTACCGCATAGCTAGTATGCCTAATTGCCATTTTATCCGTTGTATTTCCTGATAATCACTCCCACTCCCATTTATGATTGGCGTGAATAAAGAAATTAAGTTAAAAAAAGGTTTTCTGTTAAGTAGACAACCATATGCTTATAAGTTTGTTCTAGCTTTGCTCGCATAATGATCTCATATTTTCCTCGTACATGCCGAAATTTTGATGTAATTCACTCAAACTTTTAAGGTAAAAGTTAATTTTTTAAAATTACTAATTCTTTTCGTATATTCATGAAAATATTTTGTTATCGTATAAAACAGGCCTTTTCATATAATCTATTGTTGTGTGAATTTGTCAGGAAAAATCATTTAGCCATTTTAAATTTTATTCTATTTTTGACACAACCGACAATGTTTGGAGCTCATTTATCCATTTTTCAGAATGCCAAAACATTTTGTATTACTCATTAAATCTTTAATTTCAGATATTCAATTAAAAAACAACGTAATAATGGCGAAATCATATATCTAGTATATATCTTGCGAAATCATATTTCTTTGGTCTTGGCTTATATTTTATTTACTCATCGAATAATTGAGATTATAAAGACTTAATCAGAGATAAATTTTTTAGGCAGACTTGAAAATGGGCAAGTTGCCCCAAAACGTTGCCTGATATTTAAAAGGATTAAGTTGTTTTTCCTGAATTGTTTAAAAACAATAAATTGTAAAGCCTAGAAAGCAACCTCAAATACCAAAATTAAGTTTGTTTGATTCAAACTGGTTACTTTGGTTTACCGAAACAGAGCTAGGAAAAAAAAATATACAAATATAAAACAGATATATCCGTAACCTCTTTAATTGTTTTCTAAAGATTCTAAAATGTATCCTATTCCTCTCTTTTTTTTTTCTTATAAAATATGACTACTAAAAATAAAATATGGTAATATTGGTATGATTATTTTAACAAGTAACGTAAAGCATTACTATAGTTCAAATTTAAAAATGATTTTGCTCAAATATACTACCTATCTATAACTACTAAAAAATCAACATATCATACCTGCCAATCACTGGGTGCTAACAGTAGGCCCATCAAAGGTAAACTGAACCGGGAATGACTGATGAAGAAAGGTGGGGGCTCCACTGAAAGCTCCGATTCTGTCTTAAGAAATTTCCGCGATCCTAATCAATGTTATGTAAAGCTTTGTAATTAAAAAAAAAATTGATCTGTAAGTTATTTCAATCAATGGACATTATTAAATTCTAAAAATAGGCACCAATAAGCTGAATTTTGATATTTAATGTTATTTTCCAAGCCGCATAATATTAAGGTCACAGCTTCAAGGTAGTGTACAAACAAAATTGTTAGTCTAAGTAACAATGTATACTCTAGTGTAAAAAGTAAAACGGATATTTTATACCACAGTAAATTGTAACTTTGAAGTTTTGTTTCTCAAAATGATAGTAAATGGTGTTAAAAAACCAAACCACGATATGCTAACTCGACACATTTATTAGCACATAACGCCACAGTTTTCTTGCTCTTCGTGTTCTCTGTAAGCATAGAAAGAACTACTGAGTTCGCCGTGCAACCTTTTTAACAACTCAAAAATTTTCAAAATTTTGCCGCCTAGACATATCCAATTTTTAAAGGAACTTAATTCTAATTGGTTAACTATCCCCCATGTGTTTTTAAATTTTGAAAAGAAAATTGTCATTATTTAAAAATTTCTAAGTTCAGAAATCACTTTTTTAAGATACTTTAACTTCTTGATAGTAAGTATTTGAAAAATTATTAACTTGTTAATGACTCATGTCATTAGCATTATTATCAACTCCAATCAACTGCTTAAAACTGTCCCTAAAATCCCGACTCTGTTTCTATATGATAATCCTATCAACTTTTATCCCACTGAACGTTTGATCAAACCTTTTTCTGGAATGACCATATATCCAATATATTGGCCGTACCTTTTCTATTTTAAAACTACCTCCGTCACCTGTTTCCATTCAAAACCCGTAAACTCCTGATCACTTCCTTAATATTTCCCCACTTTGACTATGTTGTACGGTATAGTAATAATAACACTTTATTTATTCTAGGACGAGTCCCTTTAGAATAATATAGAAAGACATAAATAAAGGATAAGGAGCCTCAGAAATACATAAATAAAGATACAGAGTAATTAAACAGTCATAATAATAAAATAAAATGTAAGTTACTTTCTAATTTTAATTAGTTAATAATAAAAAAAATTAAAAAAAAAGGGATGAAGTAAAAATAATGAGCTAATGATTCATATACATATTTATATTAGTATCTATTTACAATTTCATGGGGACTGGATGCATAAGAAATGATTGAACAGGCGGGATTTAAAGGTAGGAAGGGTATTATATTGTCGAATATGAGAAGGGATGGAATTCCAAAGGGATGTGGATCGGATAATGAAAGATCTGTCGAAAGCAGCGGTTCGGTGGGTCCTTATGTACAAGACAGAAGACCAGAAACGAATATTACGGGAACGAACAGAGGATTTGAATTGAAGGAGCTCAGAGATGTATGAAGGACGGTGTGATTGAATAACTTGAAAGAGGAAGGATGCAATGAAATATTTACGACGGTAGGAAGGATAAAGCCACTTCAACTCTGTATACAAATGGAAAACAGTGGCGTCCCTTGGTATCCCGAAGACGAATCGTACAAAGCAACTTATTAATCGTTTTAGTTTCGCCTCGAGATCCCCAGAGACGCCCCCACATATCAAACAGCAATAGTCAAAGTGGGGGAAAATTAAAGACGTGACTAGGAGAATACGGGTTTCAAATGGAAATAGGTGACGAGAATAATTTAGACGTATACGGAGGGGTCTTTGGGTATATCAAGACAAAACTAAAACATTTAATAAATTACTTTGTACGATTCATCTTCGGGATCCACAGGACCGCTCAGTCTCCCGTTTTTAAGAAGAGCTGAAGTGGCTTTATCTTTTCTATCGTCTTAAGTACTTCCTAACTTCCTTCCTCTTCTAATTCATCCAATCCCATCGTCTTACATACATCTCCGTACTCCTCCAATTCAAATCCTCTTTTAACTCCAATAAAACGCTTTCCCGGTCTTCGGATTTGTATATAAGAGCCCACCGAAGCACTGCCTTCGACAGATCTTTCATTATCCGATCCTCGCCCCTATGGAATTCTATCCTTTCTTGCATCTGTCGCTCCAATACCCTCCCCACCTTTAAATCTCGCCTATTCAATCACCTCCTATCCGTACAATTCTCATAAAATTGTGAATAGATGTTGTAAATATGCACATAAAACCTAAGGTCGTTGTAACTATTTTTATTTCTTGTTTTTTTTTTTTAAATTGAGTAGTTGGAAGACAACCTATACTTTTTTATTTATTATAATTTTATTTATTATAATTCTCTGAGGTTCCGAAGTCCATATTTCTTACTCTGTTTATTATTCTACATGAACTGGTACCAGAATGAATAAAGTATTATTAAAATTATCATAGACTACCCTTATAGTATGAACCACCATTAAAGTGGACTGTATCTATCTACTAACATGTATAGTAGAATTAGTTTAACGGTGTTCTATTTTGAATTTATAAACTCAACTAAACTGTAAAAGGAATCACCTATTAAAATACTGTACAGTTTTAGTTTAAAGTATTTTGTGGGTCAAGACTTTTTTTGTTATGAGGAAGGGCTAACCAACTCATTTTTCTTATAGGCATATATTATGTCTGACCAAATTTCATTTAATACCAATATCAAACGTCCTGACCAAATACCTGTTAAAGTTATCAAACTTTGTCTTCTTAACTTACTTCCCGCACTTCTACACATATATACTTTTTATTATTTTAAGCCAGACTAATACCCATAAATTTGTTACACTGCTGTTATTCTTAGGGGACTTTAGTCCCAGAATAAAATTATTTTTTTCATTTTATTTTCAATTCATCTCAATTGAATTATATTATATTATTCAATTATACATATATAATTTATATTATATATATAGATATATCTATATATATATATATATATCTATATATATATATACATATATATAGATATATATAATGATATATATAAATATATATTGCATATAGGCATATACTATATAATATTCCAAACAATATCTCCATTCTACCAGGTCTCTCCCACCCCGTGACCTTATTGTTCGGTCTCCCCAATAATTTTCATAAGTCGGCGCCTATGATAATTATCTTAAGTGAAAACCCACCATAAGAAGTGATCTAGGCGAAATTCTGCACATTTTTACATCTAGATGTTTGTGAAACCTTGGGCCAGATTGACCAGAATTGGATAGTCCCACATTGAAATAAGATAATTTCCTAAAAAAGGGGTGAACGAATGATAGTGATGTATTGCTGTGCAATAATGACAGTCTGGAGCCAAGAGAAGAGTTTGTCTGCCTTGAACATGATAAAATATCCAATCTCACAAAGAGCATACAGAGGGAAATCCAAGGATCGGACCGTCTAGTAAGTCAGCGAAGCAGGCGATTTTATTTTTAAAATATGATAACTTCATGCACAAAAATTACAACTATTTTTTTTTTCTTCCTCACTATCTAAGGTAGAGAAGCATGGTATTCGTGCGAAAGGTTAAGACAAATTTTGTAGTTAGAATCGAAAATTTTCAATTTCGCTTTACCTTTTAGACATCAAGGATCAAATTTGGTTCGGTGTCTGTCTGTAGTCAAATCGATGTGACGGGCATATGATCTACTACTGTTCAGCCAATTTTCATGACATTTTTAGGGATTGTGTGAATTAGTGCCTAGATGTTTCCATATAAATTTAACCGAATTCCATACAGAAATTCTGCTTTCGCACGCGTAAATGTGTTTTCATGAAAATATTTCAGAAATGGCTTGTTCGATTTGGCTCAAATTTGAAAGAAAGGTGGGCTTTGGTAAAATAATGATTCAGTATGGACTTTATCTTCTACTTTCTATATGCGCAAACGCCTTTTCCTTGATACCTCTTGATGATATCTTAGAAATAAATAATATATTGTTTTAATGAGATTTTTTTTTTTTTTTTTTTCAGATTTTTGGTTTTATTCAGAAAATTAATTTATACTGTATTGTTTGGTTGATTTCAAACGTTACTGTCATGACACTGACTGCTGTTATTTAGATTTCGTGTTGTTTTCAGTAAATTTAAATTAATTTTTACTCTGACTTTGTAAAAAAAAAATAACAACTATTATTTGTGATTTTGTTTGTTTCTGAAAATAATCCAGCTCGTCGTGGTCTCGATTTCCTCTTTAATCATCAAAGTTGCATGCACTTCAATCATATTTTTATATTTCAGCTTAAATTAGTTATGTTCTGACTGATGGAAAATATTGGTCTCGTTAACTCCCGAAAAACAAAAAGTTGAATTGTTATAACCTGTAAGAATACATCGCTGCTGTTAGTGTAAAACGTCTTATGTTACAATTTTCCATTTTTATTCTAATGGTGTTAAAGGTGACATTTTGTAGTATGCAACTTTTGTAATAGGTAGCATTGTACTTTGGAAAATAGCAGAGAAAAACAAAATATGAAATTACACTAATAAATCATGAAGAAATAATTACTTTTTATGTTCTATAAAATAACCAATTTTCACATACATCTTTTTGCACTAACAGTAACGATTTACATCTTCACAGTATATACTGGGATTTTTTAAAATCACGATTCATCAAATGCTTGTGCTATATATTGTAAAGACCGCCGGTGGTATTCATTTAATTATTTTAAAGGTATAAATAAATAAATATCATAAGTGGCTACATCTGGCGCTACCTGAGCGAGGGTAACGACCCACAAGCCCAACCTTTTGTAAGTGGTAATAAAAACCTTTAAGAACCACCGACCAAGACCGACAACTGAGTGTTTAAACAGGATCCCGAAAGACCTTTTCACACCTTCCACCAGAAATACGGAAATCTGTACCTGCTACTTTATCTTGGCCTGGGGGAGAGGGCGTGGTCATCCCTTAGGCTGAGAATATTCAACCAATCAGGAAAAAGGACTACCAAAAGAGAGGGGGATGAAGAAAGGTGGGAAATAGGGGACTAGGACTAAGACACTTCTTTTTGGGACTCAGCTGAGGAGACTTCAAGCTGGGAAGGAAGCGAGAGGGACT